ATAAATGTAAAATTGAGAAAAACTGAGTTTCCAGGGCCGCCTGGACGGAGAAGGAGCATGGGCCAGCTCCTGTGGGTAAAGGTAAGAGTTTTCCCAAGGGTTGGTGGAGACTTGCACCGTAGGAGCTGGAGAAGAGAAGGGTCCTGTGGAGGGATGCTTATGGACAGAGACAAAGGAATAAGATGTAGGTCTGGGAATGGATAATTTGAGTTGTATCTTAGGGGCGCCTGGATGGTTCAGTTGGTTGAGTGGCCAACTTCGGCTCAGGTCATGATCTCACTGCTCATGGGTTCGAGCCCCGCGTCGGCCTCTGTGCTGACAGCTCAGAGCCTGGAGCCTGCTTCAGATTCTGTGTCTCCCTCTCTCTCACCCCCTCCCCTGCTTGTGCTCTGTCTCTCTCTCTCTCTCAAAATAAATAAACAAAAAAATTTTGAAGTTATATCCTTAATTGGATTAAGGATATTATAATATATATGTATTATATATTACATCATATTAAGGACAAACTTTAAAAAAAAACTTTTCTTATATTTTTGTCTTGTTTTTTAAGTAATCTCCATACCTGACATGGGGCTGGAATTCACGATCCTGAGATCAGAGTCACAGACTCTTCCAACTGAACCAGCCCCGCACGGCACCCCAAGGATATAACTTTTGAAGAGTTATTTTCCTTCAATCATGGGAAAAGTTATATTTAGCATACTTTTTTTTTTTTAATACAGTTGACACACAGTGCTACATTAGTCTCAGGTGTACCACTTAGTGATGTGACAAATTTATACATTTCGGTAGGTTCATCACTAATGACCATCCGTCCCATTACATTGTTATTACAGTACATTGACTGGATTCCTTATGCTGTGCCTTTTATTCCCATGACTTATTCATTCCATAACTAGAAGCCCGTAACTCCCACTTTGCTTGTTTATTTTGCCCAACTCCCCAATCCTGATTTAGCGTATAGTTTCAATTTCTTCCTTTAATATGGCATAATTCCTTTAGTGTTTTCCAGTCTGCTAATAAATTTGATGAGACTGCATGTCTGGAGCAGGGCTGTAATGGAAGGAAGTGAGATCTGGGTCCATTAGGATATTTGGTATCTCCCCCAAATGCAACTTGCTTTTCTAATCTCTGTTGATTCTCATCCTGCAAAGTCCCTTAGAGGTACAGCATCAAGGTACCCAGGGAGACTGCAGTCATGGTTTCCAGACTGAGAACAATAATCAATGAAGTGTTGGCTCCACCATTCCCCAGTGGAATGGGATTTAGTAGAGAGACTTTAGGAAGAACATCAAGGAATACTCCATGTCCCCAGATTTACTTCTAGGGAGTTGTCCCTTAGGAGAAAAGGATAAACTAATATCTGGGTTCCATGAGTTTTATAATACAATCTTAAAAATCTATAATAACATATATACTGGTGACTGAATTTTAACTTTCCTTATAATTAAATGGAAATCAAAAGTAAAATATCATTTGTCATCTTTTCGTTGTCAAAACATTTAAAAAATATGTTGGTATAAACATAAATTGGTATTGATTTTGGAGATCAAGTTGTCATTAACTGTACATAATGAATGGACACTTCAATTACATTTCTAGAAATCCACTGTTTTCCTGAAAAACATATACACAAGCACACAAACATACTTCTAGAATTGTTCACTTTAATACTGTTTTTTTAATAGCAAAGACTGGAGAGAAGCAAAACATCCATTAATATGTGGGCACCAATACATTAATCATAAATTCTACTTCATCCTTAGTATAAAGCACTATGTAGACATTGAAGAGACTGAAATACAAGTACTGATTAGAAATGATATTCATAGCATATTAATTGAGAAAAGCAAATTGTAGAATATGTATGACCCATTTTTTAAGACAATTAAAACTAAAAATATATACAAATAATTACATGTACACACAAATACATGTTTTCATAAATACAGACACAAAATGGGAAGAATACAAACTAAATTATGAATAGGGGTTATTTGGGGGGGATAAGATTATACAAGTTGACCATTGAGCAATGCAAGGGTCAGGGGTGCCCACTTCATGCACAGTTGAAAAATCTGTGTGGATCTTTTGTCTCTTCCAAAACTTACGCACATATGACAAGAGCCTTATGATAATGACAAATACTGTTGATAAAAAGCCTTATCGATAACACATATTTTGTATGTTGTATGTATTATATACTGCATTCTTACAATAAGGCAAGCTAGAGAAAAGAAAATGTTATTAAGAAAATTGTAAGTAAGATACATTTACACTGCTATACTGTATTTACTGAAAAAAAAAATCCATGTATAACTTGACCTGTGCAGTTCAAATCAGTGTCATTCAAGGGCCAAACTGTACTTTTGGTTTTGTTACAGTGAGTATATACTACTTTTGTAATAAAAGATAAAAATACAGTGTGATACCTATATGAACAGCATGTAAGACTGAGGTGTACAGAGGATAGGATGATTAACTGCATCGATGTGTGTGTAGGTAATGGGTTTAATGGTGGTGCTAGGAAATAGTTGAAAGGGATGATGACATGTGGGCAGCAATATCAAGGATAGACAAGAAAGATGGAAAAGAAGAAAGGTACAAAGTCATGGAGGAAGTAAGTACACTGAATTCATTAAGATTTTCAAAACTAGTACGTATAGCTTGGGGACTGAAAAAAGAAAGGCAAGGGGAAGCATACATAAGCTGGATGTAGGGGCGCCTGGGTGGCTCAGTTGGTCAAGTGTCCCACTCTTGATTTTGGCTCAGGTCATGATCTCATGGTTTGTGGGTTCAAGCCCCTTGTCTGGTTCGTGCTGACAGCTTGAAGCCTGCTTAGGAGTCTCTCTGCCCCCCCCTCAAAAAATAAACATTTCTTTTTTTTAAAAAAGCTGGATGTGCAAGAGAACCATAGTTAATTTGAAATTCCTTGAGGTTTTAGTGTGAAGTGTGGAGAGGGGAGCAAGAGGGAAAGCAGGAGCCACGCTGCCGAGGGCTTCCTGTACTGCCAGGGGATTTGAACAGTGTCCTGCAAGGTAAGGACGCCACTGATGGGGTTTCGGCAGGAGAGTGACATCAGCTGAGTCGGAGGTATATCGGAGAGAAGCCAATCTGGAAACTGGGAGACGGTGTAAGTGGTGGAATGCAATGAGAGTCGAAACTAGCTAGTGGCAGGGTGAATAGAAGGAGAGTGGGTTTGAGAACTGTTTCAGAGTAAAAGACACAGGGCTTGGTGACTCTTAAGATATGGGTGAAGAATGAAAGGCATGTCTTGACTCACTTCCACGGTTTTCACTTGGGCAGCTGGGCAGACGGGGAGATGACCCCTGCCAAGGCATAAAATTCGGGTGGCAAAACAAGCTTGTGAAGAGGAGAAAACGCAGGAGGGTGGGACGACACACAGAAAGGGGCAAATGTGCTGGTGATGGGAGGGTGGTAGCTGCAGATGACGTCGGTTTCAGACATGCTGAACTGAGGTGCCTATGCACCAATAAGAGAAGTTGTGCAGTAGGCCACTGGATGTATTCAGACTGTAGAGTTCTGGAGAAACTTAGTGTCAGCCCTGTACTAGGCACAAGCTGAATTGTATGACAGTCATAGTTTTGCCTCCTAAACCTGACAGCCTAATGAAGATGCTATTATCTGGAGCTCAGGAGAGAGGTCTGGACTAGAGCTCTCAACATACAGAGGGAGAGTATTAGAAGTAAAAGAGAATGAAAGTCCTAGAACTTTTAAGTATCATTTACTATGAGCTATCCTCTATGCACACCAAGCTTCACAACATTCCCATGAAATATTATGCAAATGTCATGGGTGAGGAAAATGAGAGGCAGGGAGTTGAGACTCAGGTCACAATCTGGCCTGTGGTGTGAATTTTATTCTAAGGCTGTTTTGCTGGTCACAATCTGGCCTGTGGCATGAATTTTATTCTAACAGCTGTTTTGCTGCAGTGATTTAAAACTGCCACCGAATCGGCTTGCAGTATTTAGTTTGTTACTTTCCCTCATTCTCCATTGTCTTATACCACCTGTGTGTCTCTCGTGACCTCTCTGCTCCCTTCAGGCCAAAGGTAACAGTGATACAACTTTCTTGGTAAATACATAGGTGTTTACTATGGGATAAGAGAGGACTTAGCCCAGCTGTCAATGCAGGGTTCAGACTGGACTCTGCTCTGGCTCTGCTACATTTAGGGAGCATGCTACGGAATCTCACAAAAGAAGTTGTTAGTAAATAAAATGTGCTCAATAAAATGTGAAGATCAGAGTATATCCTCTCAGGTTCTGAAACATGAGACAATGTGAAGCAATCTGTTACCGCATGCAGAGGTAGCTGCAGAGATGGATCTGAGGGTTCACAGATGATCCAAGTTCGAGGTATTGGAAAAATTAGGCACATAAACATTAAACTCTCTTAGGATGATTGTAGATAGTAGGGATGAACTTGGATCCTTTAAAAATTTGTGTATTCCACCGGCTGTGAATTCTTTTAACACCCCTCCCCAAGATCATGGCACTTAGAATGATAAAGATTTTTGAATGAATACGTGAAAATATACAATTTCGATTAAATAAAAATAATCAGGGCAGATGTCCAAACGATTGGGATTTTACAATATCGGCCCGAAACGTTTGGACCCTGGGAATCTCGTGTCAGGTGCTTCTTAACCCCTGGGAGAGCTCAGGGCAGGAAAGAGGGCCCCTCTGTGGAGGAGGCACTGCAGACACACTCTTAGCCACAAATACTGAACAAGAGCACACTATCCTTCAGAAAGCAAGGCCGGTTCCCCGGACACCCCCTCTCCCCCACCCCGGACGCTCGCAGCGCGGCCCTCCGCGCTGGGCCGGTCCGCACTCCCCGCGGCACTCCGCGTTGCCGAAGCCCAGGGGTGCGTCGCCGCAGCTCTCACACCCAGGCCCCGAGGGCACCTCTGCACACCGGGAATTTTGGCACGGCAGGACGCGGCGCGCATGCGCCGGTGCGACTCTGTGCTTGGCCCCTGCGGCGCTCCGTAGAGTTCCGTCGGCGAGCTCCACGTAGGCCGCGCAAGCGTCTTTGGCACCCCGTTCACCTGCTGCCGTTGTCGCCGCCGCCGCCGCCGCCGGGGCTGGATGGGGGGCATAGGCCAGCCAGTGGCACCCAGAAGAAAGAGACGCGGCGGCGGCGACGCAGACACCCGCGGGACAAGCGTCCCGACCCGCCTGCGAGCCCAAGGAGGTGGCGCCGAGGCCCGGCCCCCGCGGTCCCTGGTGTAGAGGGGCCGCCGTCCCCGCCGCGGCCGGGTCTCCCTGGGCACTCGCCCCTCAGGTCTCACACTCAGGACCCCGCGCTGCGCCATGTTCAAGAAACTGAAGCAGAAGATCAGCGAGGAGCAGCAGCAGCTCCAGCAGGCTCTGGCCTCGACTCAGGTACTACGGCGCTGCTCTCCCCCCGACGTCCCCGGATCCTGGCTCGGGGGCCAGGAGCAGGGAGGGCTCTTTCGTGACCCTTGACCTCTAACTTGAGGATCTCCCCCAAACTCCGGGCTGGGAATGAGCCCAGAGCGGCCCGGGTCCTCTGTGTCGGGGACCCGCCCTCCTGTCGTCAGACTCCGTTCCGGAGCGTGGGTCCGCTGGCCGTACCCTTCGGGACGCCTGGCCTCTAGTTTTCCCCTGACGCAGCTACCCTCGCCTGAGAATAGGTGAGGAGGGCTCCGATCCTGCATGACTTTTGACCCGTATCGAAGGTTCCCCCGCCCGGCCGAGACCCCAAATCAGGAGTGAGAGCGGGATGGGAACGCTTGGGTCCCGAGTCCTGTCTGACTTCTTGGCGGAGGTTCCCTGCCCCATCACCGTCCGGAGGTTGAGTGGGCAAGGGCCCGGCTCGCGCAGGACTCCTCACCTGTTAGGCGAGCGCAGCGCCAACGCGTGCCGCGGAGGCGAGGGCTGAGGGCCGGGCCGGGCCAGCCTGCTTCCAGGGGCGTCGGGCCCGAAAGAGGCGGCGGTGTGGCCGGCGTCCAGCGCCCGAGGCTGTCACGAGTTAGTCACTTCGCATAACTTGGTTGATCCCGGCCGGGCGGAGGGGCAGTCGCCCAGAGGCCAGGCCGGGGTTGTGCCTGTCCCCAGCCGGCCTGTGCTTCCCTAAGAGCCTTGTTCCGTCCGTTTTTCATGAATGCTGTTGCTTCAGGAAATGACAGTTTCTAGGGGAAAGGGGGCGTGTTAGCATTGTTAATTTAAAGAAACAGTCTCCTAGACACCAGTGAGAAAGTGTGTTCTGGAGCTCGCACCAATTGGTCTCTTGAGCGAAGATGAGGGCTTTTGCTAAGTTTCTTCCTAGCTTTTTTCTCTGCCTCAACGGATTGACCAGCTCTCTCTCTCAATTTTAGAATTTCTATAAGAAAGGCTGAGTTTTGATTAATTTGGAGACATTTAACGATTCATTTAAAAAATACAGCATTTATAGGGGCGCCTGGGTGGCTCAGTCGGTTGAGCGGCCGACTTCGGCTCAGGTTATGATCTCATGGTTGTGGGTTCGAAACCCCGTCGGGCTCTGTGCTGACAGCCCACAGGCTGGATGGAGCCTGCTTCGGATTCGGTGTCTCCCTGTCTCTCTGCCCCTTCCCAGCTCGTGCTCTCTCTCTGTCTCTCAAAAAACAAATAAATGTAAAATAAAAAAATACATATAGCATATATCTTACACAGCTTTTTAAACAACTGATAAGCAACTAACAGCTATCAAATTAATTATTGCATTGAGTCTATTCTGAAACTATAAATTGAAGTTGTTTTTTAAAAGCTAAAGCTCATGTAGAGTAAAACTGAAATACATTGGAACATGACACAAGCCTTGTTCATTCTCCTCAATAAAATGTAAATAGTGATAAAATTTAAATAGTAAATATCTGGGGCGCCTGGGTGGCTTAGTCGGTTGAGCGGCCGACTTTCGCTTGGGTCATGATCTCGCGGTTCGTGGGTTCGAGCCCCGCGTCGGGCTCTGTGCTGACTGCCAGCTCAGAGCCTGGAGCCTGCTTCAGTCTGTGACTCCCTCTCTCTCTGACCCTCCCCTGCTCACGCTGTCTCTCTCTCTCCTAGAAATAAATAAAACATTAAAAAAAAAATTTAAATAGTAAATATCTTACTTTTCATACCATTAACTGCGAACTTGTCTAGCTGTATAAAACATGGTTATTAAGAAACAAAAGACTTCAAAGTGAGGTAGAAATGAGGAATGTGGGGAAACACCATGTTAGTGAATGTAAAGCACTTACATTTGGGAATGTGTAAAAATATCATTGATCCAAGATTCTATCTTTAGAAATTTATCCGGAGAAAGTTTAGGATGCATTAATGATTTGGCCTCATGGATTTTTATTGCAATGCTGTTTTAATAGGTAAAAACTGGCTAAAAATATAAAATTGGTTAATAAGTTGTATTTGGTAGTGTGCTATTATGCAGCCTTAACAAAAGCCAACATTTATTGGGTTCTGACTACGTGAGAGGCATTTTGCTTTGTATTTTAGGTGGATTCTCTTATTTCTCTCTTTTTACATTAAAAAAAATGTTTTATTTATTTCTGAGAGAGAGAGACAGTGTGAGCAGGGGAAGGTCAGAGAGAGAGGGAGACACAGAATCTGAAACAGGCTCCAGGTTCTGAGCTGTCAGCACAGAGCCCGACATGGGGCTCGAACCCACAAACCGCGAGATCATGACCTGAGCTAAAGTCCGACGCTTAACCGACTGAGCCACCCAGGCGCCCCTATTTAATTCTTAAATAAACCAAAAAGGTAGATGAAGAAGTGAGGTTCAAAGAGATTAACTTGCTTTCCGTCACACAGCTATTGTTAGAGCCTACAGAAAAGTAATAGTTAACATGCAAAGGGTATTTGTGTTAAAGGACAGATTAAGAAGCAGCATGTAAAGCGTGACCCCAGTTTTGTGGGGGAAAATATGTATATAAAGTATTATATACAGGCACTGAAAATAGTTTAAGAAGTGCTCGTGATGCTATTATTATTATTATTATTATTATTATTAGAGAGAGAGAGAGCATGGGGGGCAGAGGGAGCGAGAGAACCTTAATCAGGCTCCATGCTCAGTGAGGAGCCCGGCCACAGAGCTGGATGCCAAGCCCCACGCTGGGCTCCATCCCACAACCCTAGGATCATGACCCGAGCAGAAACCAAGAGTCAGATGCTCAACCAACTGAACCACCTAGGCGCCCCCGATTATTTTTCTTATTCATAATGTTTAGTTTTATTTATGAAAATGAATTGCTTCCATGCATTGACTGAGAGAGGTATAGTAAAAAAGTTAGGTACAAGCTAACTTATTCAGTTAGACTCTACATCTGGATCAAATAAAATTACTTTGTGTATAAAAGATTTTTAAAAATTCTCTTTGATATGTATATTTTTCAAGAACTTAAGAGTTAAATTGTTTTAGCGATCATCTACTTGATCTGCTCTGGTCTCAGATCCTCAGCTACCTAAGAACCTTTCAGGATGAGAAGTTCTAGATTATTGTTTTCACATCTTCAGTGTTTTTTAAGGGTAAATTAAAAACAAAAAACCTTTTTTTGATGTTAATCCTTTATTAATAGATTACTTGTTTCCTTGTTTGCTTAAGCAAAGGATCTTTAATTTGTGTATATTATTTCTTCATTAAAATTTTTTTTAATTTAAAATTTTATTTTATTTTTGAGAGACAGGGTGCAAATGGGGAAGGGGCAGAAAAAAAAGGGAGACACTCCAGGCTCTGGGGTGTCAGCACAGAGCCCCACTCGGGGCTCGAACCCACGAACCATGAGATCATGGCTGCACCGGTCTGATGTTTAACTTACCGAGCCGCCTAGGGGCCCTCCTTATTTTTGAGTATAAATTATTTAGTGTTGAAGGCACCATGTCCTCAAGAATTTAACAGGTTGTGAAAGGCAATTCCCTTTTACCCACTCAAGAGGTTTTGTTGTTTGCTCTTGTCTACTTTTTGTAATTTTGTAACCTCCCTTGCTGTCTGCCTTGTCTTTGTTCTCTCTGTTTTTGAAGTGTTGCCGGCTTTGAATCAAGACATATAAGCTTCTAAAATTTTGTGTGAAATTAGGGCAAGTACCTGAGGGATTCATTAGTGTATTAACACAAATTTTGAGACATTTGTTTTGAGGTTTTTGGAGGCCCTTGTGTGCATACTTCCTGGTCCTTGGCTTGCTTTTTTTCATAAGTGAGGTGGCCTGATAGATAGGTTTCTAGTAGTTTGAGTTGTTAGGCATAGATAATTCTGGGATAAATGAACCATTTTCATTACAATATTTGTAAAACTTTCAGCAATAATGACAGTGATATAGTATAGTGTCTCTTAAGAGTTTGAAAGCATTTAATAGAAACAAGGTAGCCTTCTAATATTCTCCAATTATTTCTGTTTGGTTGGTACTAAGAAGTTTGCATCCTTCCTTGCAGATATTATTTTAAGTAATTATTTAATCAACTCTGATGATAACTTGAAGCCTAATCACTAATGAAAAATGAAGTTAAAACATTTTATTTTTTATTTATTATTTTAATTTGTTAAGTAGGCTCCAATGCGGGGCTTGAATTCACGACCCTGAGATCAAGACCTGAGCTGAAATCAAGAGTTGGATGCTCAACTAGTGGAGCCACCCAGACACCCCTAAGTTCTGTTTCTTGATTTATCTGATTTTTCTGCGTCACTTGTTATATTCTTACTGATCATCTTGTTTTGCCTTTTTTTTTTTGTAATTGTTGTTTGCTTTTTTTGTCCTTTGATTGTTGTTTGTTTGTTTATACTTAGGAAGTCCTAGAGAGTGATTTATTTGGTAGATAATATGGATTTTCTCTGCTCTTATGTGCTTCTCTCCTGTGTGGAGAGTGGTTATGCAAGTCAGACAATTGCTCCTCTGCCAGCCTTAACAAAGAGGGTCTACCAACTTTGAAAGGTGACCGTATAATTTATTATGCTGACATTCTTGATAGTGAAAGGGAACACTACTAATAATGATCTTAGAACATAAACTGGCTTGAATTGGGTGGGACATTATTGCATTGGGCAAACATAGGTGTATTGTCACCCTGCTGCTTTGTGGTACCAGCCCCCACTGTTGAAGATTTAACTCCTACAAGGTAGGTTGCTTATCATATTTTGCAGTTATTTTTGTCTGTAAATATGTTTGGGTTGGAGGAGGCTGACCTCAAGTACTTGTTTGTCATACAAGCCCTTAATTAATCCCTGAGAGCAATAGTGAAAACAATAATTTCTTGTTTTCGTACTTTAAACCTGTGATTCTTTTCCTATTGGAAGAATTTGCTGCTGCCTCTTCTTCAGCCTTCTGGGCAAATTTTTGAGTTATAGCTACCTTTGCCCAGATTTCTCAACCAATTCAAATCCTTTTGACTTTAAGTCTTCAAAATTTTATGTTTTTACTGTTGATCTTCTCTGTCTTGTTTTTAAGTTTTGATTAATCTTTCTATTTTACTTTAAAACTTTGTTTCAGTAGGTTTTTGGGAGGGAGAGAGGTAAACAATAGTATTCAGTCTACATTCTTATACTAGAAACCTAGTCACCATGATGTACTTAAACATAAATTCATCTTCTAAAATATTAAAATTTTTTTTAATGTTTGTTTATTTTTGATAGAGACAGAGCGTGAGCAAGGGAGGGGCAGAGATAGAGGGAGACACGGAAACCAAAGCGGGATCCAGGCTCCGAGCTGTCAGCACAGAGCCTGATGCAGGGCTCAGAACTCATGAACCATGAGGTCATGACCTGAGCTGAAGTCTGGCACTTAACCGACACTGAGCCACCCAGGCGCCCCTAAAAGGGAGTTTTTGTTTTGTCTCTTTACCTTGTGGGTCCCAGTGAAAACTCTGAGAAACAGTGATCTAAAGAATACCAGGGAAGTGACTGAGGGAAGCAGAATGAGGGAAGCGTCCTAACCCAGAACGCAGATGCAGCCTGGGCAAGCCACATAAGCATTCTGAACTTCTTATTTTCTCATCAGGGGTGAGAAGTTGGGGACGATGATATCTGCTTTGCTTACCTTTCAGATTGGTTGTGAGGATCAAAAGAGAGAAAGTATTTATTTATTTATTATTTTTTTTAATGTTTTATTTATTGCTAGGAGAGAGAGAGAGAGCATGAGCAGGGGAGGGTCAGAGAGAAAGGGAGTCACAGACTGAAACAGACTCCAGGCTCTGAGCTGGCAGTCAGCACATAGCCCGACGCGGGCCTCGAACCCACAAACCGCGAGATCATGACCTAAGCGAAAGTCGGAGGCTTAACCGACTAAGCCACCCAGGCGCCCCTAGAGATAAAGTATTTAAAAGCATGTGTTGGGGTGTCCAGGTGACTCAGTTGGTAGAGCATGTGACTCTTGATCTGAGGGTTGTGAGTTCAAGCCCCACGCTGGGTGGGGAACCTACCTTAAAAAAAGTGTTTGCAATTACAGAGCACTTACTTAACCACACCTCTGAAGTGCTATGCGGAGCGTTGCATTTGCCTTGCAGGGTAGATGTAGTCTCTGCACCATGAGGTAGAGAGACAAGTACTCCTAGTATAGTGGTAGTGTGTACAGGGTGTTGTGGTTGCACATAGGAAGGCATTTCTGGAGAGAGGGTGACCTCTGAGCAGAGTCTTGATGGATAATGAAACATCACGGCATAGGGACAAGCTAGTCAAGGCTTACTATTCCCAAAAGTGATTGTATATGTTTCCTAATGTTGCGTAACAAATTACTACAATCTTAGTGCCTAATAACCCAGTCGTTACTCCATAGTCTGTGGGTCAGAAGTCTGGTGTGGGTGACTGGCTTCTCTACTAAGACTCTCACAGGGTGTTAACCAGACTGGGTCCTCACCTGGAGCTTAGGGTTTTCTTCCACCTTCATATGGTTGTTTTAGAATTTAGTCTAACATGGTTGTAGGACTGAGGTCCTTGTCTCTTCCTCGCTGCTGAAGGGGGCCACTCAGCTCCTAGAGGCTACCTACAGCTCCTTCTTGCTTGGCCCTCATAGGTGTTTGCTTTCTTTCAGGATAGCAGGAGTACATCTCTCTGTCTTTTGCCTCTGCCTCTGCCCTCTAGAGTCTTATTGGAAGGGCTTTTGTGTTAGGCTAGACCATCCAGCTAATCTTTTGATTGACTCAAAGACTACTGATTAGTAGCCCTAAACATGCCTGTAGAAATCCATTTTACTGTGTAATGTGAGATAATCAGGGGAGTGATCTCATCATATTCACAGGGTGAAGGTCATTTGGGGTCATCTCGGAATTCTGCCTACCACAATGACTGAAAGATTTTTCTTATACTGAAATTGAGGCCTGTGGTTAGTTAATAATCCATTGGTGGGCAATAAAGTTATTAATTGTGACAAGCAGCTTAGAAACCTATCTGGGTTTCTCATGGCTATCAGAATTAATTAGATCAAGTTTAGTTTGAAGGAATCTGAATCCATTTATATTTTGATTATTTTTTTTAGTTTATTTTGAGAGAGTGAGGGGCAGAGAGAGAGAGAGAGAGAAAGAGAGAGAGAGAGAGAGAGAGAGAGAGAGAATCCCAGGTAGGCTCCACAGTGTCAGTGCAGAGACTGAAGCGGGGCTCGGCCTCATGAACATCATTATCTGAGCTGAGGTCAAGAGTCAGGCGCTCAACTGACTGAGCTGCCCAGGCGTTCCTAAATCCATTGATATTTTGAAGTGAGGATATCCCATTGAAGGTCCAGGACCTTCAGATGAATGCTCAAGTATGGTTAGTTTTTTATCCATGTTTTATATTTTACAGTCGTATATGATGTCTGCGATCCTCACTCTTGCAACCAGGGAAAGACCTAGCAGCTATCAGGCCAGGCCTGCCAAGTGATTTTACTTTTCTGAAGACAGTGTGTTTTATGAACTATTCTTCATCTTTGTAAATTCCAGCATTTGATTTTGCCAGTTAAAAAAAATTTTTTTAATGTTTTATTTATTTCTGAGAGAGACAGTGTGAGCAGGGGAGGGTCAGAGAGAGAGGGAGACACAGATTCTAAAGAAGGCTCCAGGCTCTGAGTCACCACAAAGCCCAACGCGGGGCTTGAACTCGAGCTGTGAGATTATGACCTGAGCCGAAGTCAGACACTCAACCGACTGAGCCACCCAGGCGCCCCTGATTTTGCCAGTTAATCCAGAGCCAATGAAGTTGCCAGTTACTGATTAGGCTCACATGAAGCCAAAGTATGAAGATGGAATGACAATTGTAAACATTTACAGTCAGGGTGTACTTTTCCAGTGATTGGATGGCTACTGTCTAAAGGAGCCCTTTCCTGGCACCTGGAGAGCTTCATTAGTAACTCCCGTGCGCAGCTGCAGGAAGCTTCGCTTCATTGCCCCCACATGAGGAGCTTTACATTTGTATGTCTGGTTCCTCACATCTCTCACTTACGACTCGGAGTTTCATACGGATGTGTTCACTGGTGGAGCTCAGGTCACCTGCCCTAGATGAAAAGGGGACCGGGCTAGTAAGTTTTCTGAGTTCTAATTTATAGACTTACGAGAGTTGTTTAGAAATAAAAAAAGATTATTAAATTTTTGTCATTATTTTGTTGACATTCCCCCCCCATTAAACTGTTTCCTTTTGATTTCTGCTTTTGACACAAAAATCTCTTTCCCATTCAGTGATTATAGTAGTAGATGCTCATATGTTCATTTATATTGCAGTTTTTAAAAACTGTGGGTTAAATAGGTGATGGGGATTAAGGAGTGCACTTGTGATGATCACAGGATGTTGTATGGAAGTGTTGAATCACTACATTGTACACCTGAAACTGTATATTACACTGTATATTAACTAACTGGAATTTAAGTAAAAGCTTAAAAATACCTTTGATATAGCTTAAGTATGAAGGAAGCTTCTGATTGGTGTCTCTCCCCTCATATGAATGGCCATTTGTCTCAATACCATTTATGGAACATCTATCTTAATTTGCAGTGTTACACTTACTGTGTATAAATATGTGTATGTGTATACATTGTTCCTGAGGATCTCTCTGTTCCAGCCTAGCCATAGCACTATGTGCCTGTCAGATAGATCAGGGTTCCAGTTGTTCATTCATCACTCATTTATTTAACAAATAGTTATTAAATGCCTCTTATTTATATAGGCTATGCAGAATACAAAATGGTAAGACAAGACTTATTTCTATGTGTAGATGATTTAAGATCTATTTATTATAGGTGAAGGAGGGTCTTAAGGTTTTGGCTTTAGACTTTTAGGACTCTTTTTAGTTCACCTTAGAGTATACCTTAACCTTCTAGTTTAAATTTTGTACCTTTCTCCTGAAGGTTTTTGTCTTGAGAATTACAGGAGCTAGGCTGTCCTTTACAGAATTAAACAGACTGGCGTCTCGGGGTCTAGCTGTCTGTGCAGGCAAGGCCCTTGACTAGATAATGTTTACCTGTGGGGCTCCTGGGTGGCTCCATCAGTTAAGTGTCCGACTCGTGATTTCATTCGGCTGAGGTCATGATCCCAGGGTCATGGGATTGAGTCCCGCGTTGGACTCTGCTGAGCAGGGAACCCTCCTTGGGAGTCTCTCTGCATTAGTCTGCGCTTTCCCGCTCATGCACACTCCCTCTGTCTCAAATAAATAAACATTAAAAAAAAGAAATGTTTGCTGGTGCATTACATACTGAATATTAGAGCTGGAAATCACTGTAAAGATTAAATCGGCAATCTTATTGTTTTTAATGAACTTTTAAGTTTGGAATAATTTTAGTTTATAGGATAATTGCCCAAATCGTACAGAGAGTTTCATATACTCCTCAACTGGTTTCAGTTTCCCCTCATGCTATCATCTTACGTTAACTTCACAACCTTATATGAGGACACATAGCCCTCAAAAAGTTAATATAGCTAAGATCATAGCTCTGGTTCATGGCAGAGTCATACCAAGGACCGAGCTGGCAGCCTAGGTCTTCTAGTTGATTATGTTTAGGTATCGTTTTCTCTTTTTCATATGTTTGTTTTTTTCCTTTCTTTCTTGGGGTTCTTTGGGCAGGGACTGAGAGAAGGCCTACACAGTATGTAGCCCACTAATCACTAAAGTCTTCCTAATTTGTGAAATAATTTTTTAATCTAGGCTTCCTCCAATTCTTCAACACCAACAAGAGCCAGGAGCAGGACATCTTCATTTACAGAGCAACTTGATGAAGGTACACCCAACAGAGAGGTAAGTTGGGTATTTCTCCTTTAAGAAACCTCTTACAAGAAGCTTATTAATATAAAATGTAGGCTACTACATTATTTTGACAGGTCAATTATTTAATTCCTAGGTATTATTTTTATTAGCAATTACTAAATAGTAATTATGCTTTTGTAAAGTGTGTTTTCTTTGAGAATCTTAATTTGAGAAGATAGTATATTCTGCCTTTAATATTTGAGATTTATAATAATTTGATATTAATTTGTTCAACATAGCAATGTATAGGGAAAAGTTCTATATTTTCAAGCTGTTGATTGGAAACTGTGTAGTAACTTAACTGACTTCTGATTGGCAGCTAGCACCATAGTTCAGAATAGATTTTTTTCAACTTTTTTTCTTTCTGTGTACTGTGACACAGATACAGAAGAGAGTACAACAGAAATGCACAGGTCAATCAGTTGTTATGAAGTAAAGCCCGTGTAACCACCACTGAGGTCAAGAAAAGGAACACTGCCAGCATGCTAGCGCTGTTTTCTCTCCCCAGAAAGATTACTGTCATCCTGACCTTTTGGTATTTGTTTCCTTCCTTTTCTTTATAGTACCAGTTACATATGCTTTCTGTCATAAAAATAAGCATTTGGGTTGTTTACAGTTTTGGGTTATTATAAGTTATACTGCTATGAGCATCGTTGTACCTTTCTTTTGGTATACATATACCTACATGTCTTTTGCTGTGTACCAAGGAGTAGAACACCGGGGTCAAAGGGTATATGTAGTTTTAACACTTTAGGAGATAATGCTTGTTGGTTTTCAGAATAGTTGTAGAACTTTACCTTTCCACCAGGGGCTTCTGAAAGTTACTGTTGCTCTACATCCTTGCTAGTCTTTTCAATTTCAGCCATTCTGGTGGGCGTATAGTGTTCTCTTACTGTAGTTTTAATTGATGACTAATAGGATTGGGCATTTTTCATCTGTGTATTGGCCATTCGATATCTTTTTTTGTGAAGTGCTTGTTGATGTAGCTTGCTCATTTTTCTGTTGGGTTTGCCTTTTGTTGATTTGTAGTTCTTTTTTATATAGTGTGGATAGGAGTTTTTATTGGATATGCCTTGCAGATATCTTCTGTTATGTGGCTTCCCTTTTACTCTCTTAGTGGTGTCCTTTGATGAGCTGAAATTCTTGGTTTTAATGTACTCTGGTTTATTAATATTTTTATGGCTAGTGTTTTTGTTTCTTATTAAAGAATTCTTTTCTTACCCTGAGATTGTATTACTGTTTTTACTTTTCAAAAATAATTGTTTTTATTGAAATATGTTTGACACACAATGTTACATAAGTTTCAGGTGTTCAACATAGTGATTTGACAAGTCTGTAAGTTCTGCTGGGCTCACCCAAAGTGTGGCTGCCATCTGTCACCATATAATGATATTACAATGTCATTGATTATATTCTGTATGCTGTACTTTTTATTCCTGTGACTTAATCATTCCATAACCAGAAGGTTGTACCTCTTGCTCTCCTTCACCCATTTTGCAAATCTTCCCATATCCTGTTTTACTTTTCACATTTGGATCTACATTCCATTTGGAAATGATTTTCTCAATTTGGTGGGAGGTAGGGATCAAGCCTGTGTTTCTCCCCCCTCCCCCCCCACTGTAATGCTGTCCAGTTGTCCCATTCTTTCCACATTGCTCTACTGTGCTACCTTTTTTCAGAAATTGAGTGTCTATAGTGAGTGGATTTGTTTCTGTGCTCTCTGTTCTCTTCCCTTGTTTGCTTTGTCCGTCTGTGATCCAATACCACACTGTCTTAATATTTTATATTAAACTTTGCCCTCTGTAGAGCAAGTCTTACCTGTCTTAGTCAGTTTGGGCTTCTTTAACATTTCCTAGACTAGGGCTTAAACAACAAACATTTCTTTTTCATGGTTCCAGAGGCTGGACAGTCCAAATTCAAGGTGCCAGCAGATTGGCTGTCCAGTGAAGGCTCTCTTCCTGGTTTACAGATAGCTGTGTTCTCACTATGTCTTAGTATGGGCCCTCTTTACTACATGCACCTAGGAAGAGAGGGATGGGTGGGAGTGGTGGGGAAAGACAGCTCTCCTGTCTCTTTTTTTATAAGGGCACTAATCCCATCATGAAGGCCCAACTTCTTGACCTTATCTAGCTAATTACCTCCCATAGGCTCTGCCTGCAAATAACATCACAGTTTGAGGGCTGGGGCTTCAACATGTGAATTTTGGGGGACACACCCCAACCTTGTTCTTGAGTGTCTTGTTACTCTTATTCCTTTCCATATAAATTCCATATAAATTTTAGAATCAGATTTTCAAGTCTCACAAAAACGAACAAGAAAATAGAACACACACAATGATAGCAACAAAGCAAACCTATGGAGATTTTGATTGGGATTGTATTGATTCTATAGATTAGGTTGGAGAAAGTATTATAAGTCAAATGTTATAATCTTTTCAGTGTTACAAGCAGCACTGTACTGAGCATGTACATAAACATTTATAATGCTATTCTTCTGTAGGATAGAATCCGAGGAATGGGATTCTTTGATTTAGGTCTTCTCATAGCTCCTGAGTTCGAGCCCCGTGTCGGGCTCTGTGCTGACAGCTCGGAGCCTGGAGCCTGCTTCCGATTCTGTGTCTCCCTCTCTCTCCGCCCCTCCCCTGCTCATGCTCTGTGTCTCTCCCTGTCAAAAATAAACATTAAAAAAACATTTAAATTGACTATTTATTTACAAAATAATCTTTTTTCCCTCAAAATAATCCTTTTTGAAAGGGATGATTTGAACATTTCTTTTACAATAGGTTAAGTAAGCTAAAGGTTATTTTGTTATTTCTTCCCGAATTCCCAAATTTCAATCCTAAACATCCTGTGCTTCATAGGTTTAACTTCAGAAGTCTTTTCTGATTGAGAGAACAACAGCATTACCCCTTCATCTCTTTGCTTTTAAAGTATTTTCTGACAACTCTAAAAGATATTTTTGACCACAAAGTACAAGGTAGACTAGACCTTCCTCATTTCATAATTAAGTTATTGATTAAAGGGGCCCATCTTCTTAGTCCTCCTCCCTCCCTGGGGTTTTGCTTTTGTTAAACCTCTAAGGTGGAAGATACTGCGTATGGGTTAGGATCCTGACTTTTTGTTTTAAATATTATAATGTTTCTTTTTAGCAAAATGTGGAAGCTTAACTCAAAATGTAAATATCTGTTTACCTTTCCACTAGATCCAGTAAAGTCTCTGTGATCCAGAATGCTTGGGAAGTAGATGGTTTCATTAAGTTAATTTCTTGGTCAGTTAAAGGTTTTACCTTTTTTCAGCTATTGCTGAAAATCCTAATGTGTTTATTTTCCTGTGTTAGTAAATACTATCTGTGAATCTAAATAAGTGTGTCTTTGGTTGCAAGCTTCCTTCTGAGCGTATAAGAAATCATGTGTATGATTATAGGCATTGAAGGCAAAGGAGGGCAGACTGAATTTGCACAGACTCTGAGGTCTGCAGACTTCAGGCACTCTTTCATCCTGCGTAAATGGCACATCTGTTCAGTTGACCATATGCTTTCTCCTTGTGATCCTGGGCGTGGTCTCGTTTTAACCTCAGCGTGCAGCTTCATTCCCTTTGTGTTGCTTGAGATGAATCTTTTTTGCCTCCCTAGAGCGGGGTGCTTTAGAACAGCAGAGGGTGTAATTCATGTGAAAGGCTTACTAGGGCACATAAAGCTACCATAGCCACCTGCCCTCTGTTCCACTTTGATGATTTTCTTTAAATGAGATTAAATTCCTGTAACAGAAAGTTCACCATTTTAAAGCGGCATTTGATACATCTGTAATGTTGTGCATTCATCATATCTTTCTAGTTCCGTGACATTTTCATTATCCCAAAAAGAAACCCATACTCATTAAGCACTTAGTCCCCGTGCTCCCGCTCCCCCAGTCCCTGGTGACCACTCATCTTCTTGCGGCCCCTGTGGATCTGCTCTTCTGAATACGTTGTATAAATGGAACCCTGCAATTTGTGACTCTTTGTGCCTGGCTCCCTTCAGTTAGCATGTTTTCTAGGTTCATCTGTGCTGTAGCATGTTTCATTACGTCATTCCTTTTTTTATGGCTGAATCAGATGACTTTTCTAAGAGCATGAAAATCTGCTTATACAATTTGGCATAGACTAGTGAGAAAAGGGTGGTTTTTGAAGTCTTCTGGATTAGCCTGGATTTACATTCTGGGACTGAAGGACCTTTGGAAGTTAACTTTTCAGTGACTCGGGTTCCCTCTTCGTAAAATGGTGATAATAATACTTGCCTCATGGAGTTGTGGGCACTACCAATAATACAGCATGTAAATCTCCTCTCATGATGCTTTGCACATAGTAGGTGCTCATTAAGTTGTTACTGTGGGTAGCCATGGAAGATGGGAAGACCTGTCCTGCTTATTCTGCTTAGGTCCCTACATGAAGGGAGGGAAACAGACAGACTATTAGGTAGACTAAGGTCCTAGGGACGTTATCTGTCTCTTTACTTGTTGAACTTCTAAAGGAAGGATTGATGTCTTCACTTACCCTGCTCATTAGGTTGCTGTTTTTCAGGCACACTTCCCCATAGATTAGGCGCCAAAGTAGGCATGTCCATGCTTATCCTCGGGGCTTGTCTATTCAATGTTTCTGTATTTTAAATTAAATTCCAGAAATCAGTTTATTTTCTTAGAATCCTTTTTTCCCCCAAAAAAGATGCTTAGCAATAAACAGTTTTAGCTAATTGATGGTTTCTGTCCTGTTTAATAGACACCTGTTCATATATATCATATACTCTTGTGCTGCTTGGCTTCCCTACACGCAGAGTGACAGCCTGCAGTAGTGGAGGGGGTCACAGGATCACATCCCTTACCTGCTGTGTGACTTTGGGCAAAACTGCCTTCAACTTCTTAGAGACTTAAAATTGTGGTGAAGCGCATATCCCCATCATAGTGTTCTTGTGAGGAGCAGATGAATTCAGAAGTATGAAAATACTCATAATTTGTGAAA